GTAGGTAAAAAAAATTTATAAATATGATGTATTCTGTTCATCTAATTTTTGTCATTTGATTTTAACTGATTACAATTTTATGCAGTATTGATACTTATTAATGTTGAATAAAGGTTGGTAAAAATGGGCCAGATTGTTAAATGAAATATGGAGATAACGAGCAGTAATCAAGCTCAAAAATCCATTCAAACAATATACAGATCAGGAGCAGAGCAAACATGGACGTCTAAAACATCAGAGGTTGGATCAGGTGCCATGGAGGAATGAGCATCCCCTGCCGACCAGTCACATCTGCCATGTCCTTGCCACGATTTAGAAACAATGGAAAATTCTGCATACAATTCATTGTCTAAATAATAGCCTAACAATTAGTATGAAAAACATCCAGCATTCTACCCAATGACAGATTGTATTTGCCAAGAAGGTCATTGTATAGACCATAGAACTTGTGAAATGATGACTTCAAATGAGACTTTTGATATTCTTGTTTCATCAACTTGTTCATCAATGACTTCCTCGCTTTAGAAATTGTTCATACATAGAGCATGCCCTTGCGTATTGAATCAACTGATATAAACCCCATATGCAGGTAATAAGGGTATATCGCTACATGAGTAAGGGAAGTTGATGATTGAAAAGTTGAAGTCATCACGTTTATCAAAAAGCTTTGTTGTTAGGTTACCATTAACATCTTTTACTAGTAAAATATCAAAATATGAAACAGATGTGTCAGACTCTGTGGTATCTTTTATTTCAAGCTCACTGGGATATATCGTGTCAACATATGAATGGAAGTAACTCTTGTTAATTGACAATACGTCATCAATATCTAAATGTCAAGTTGAAGGCCACAGGAAGTATTTTCTTCTTCACATGGATAAGATTTTGAATAAATTCTGCTTTACGTGAATACAAAAATAGGTCTGCTAATAATAAGGCGCAATTGGTAAACAAGGGAACTTGGACAGATTGTTGGAAGACCTGGCAACTGCTTCACTAACAAATCTTAGCTTGTAAACATAAACGTGAACATAGCACATAAGAGCATTTCATGAAGAGTTACAATTTGCAAGATACGATTAAAGTTGATCATAAGTCTGCAAGCAGTCAGGGGCACTCTTAAGATACTTACATGCAAGTAATTTCATGAAAAAAAGCGACACAAAACAGAAATATAAGCAAGAAAGAAAATTATTGTCACTTTTTAGCTCACCTGAGCCGAAGGCTCAAGTGAGCTTTTCTGATCAAAATTTGACCTTTGTCTGCTGTCGGTGTTGTCGTTGGCATTGTCCTTGTTGTCGTAAACTTTTCACATTTTCATCTTCTTCTCCAGAACTACTGGGCCAATTTCAATCAAACTTGGCACAAAGTATCCTTCGGTGAAGGGGATTCAGGTTTGTTCAAATGAAGGGCCACGCCCTCCTCCAAGGGGAGATAATTATGAAATAGCAAAAAATTAATGGCATTATTGAAAAATCTTCTCTTCAAGAACCACAGGGCCAGGAAGATGAAATTCATGTGGAATTATTGTCAGGTAGTGTAGATTCAGGTTTGTTCAAATCATGACCCCTGGGGGTAGGGTGGAGCCACAATGGACGATCAAAGTTTTACATAGGAATATATAGGAAAAATCTTCAAAAATCTTCTTCTCAAGAACAGCAAAGCTATGATTGGTCATATTTATATGGAAGCATTCTCAGGTGGTGTAGATTCAATTTTGTTCAAATCATGACCCCCAGGGTAAGGGTGGGGCCACAATGGATGATCAAAGTTTAACATAGGTGTACATAGGAAAATCTTCAAAAATCTTCTTCTCAAGAACAGCAAAGCTTTGATTGGATATATTTTTTTGAAAGCATCTTCAGGTAGTGTAGATTCAAGTTTGTTCAAATCATGACCCCCGGGGGTAGGGTGGGGCCACAATGAATGTTCAAAGTTTTATATAGGAATATATAAGAAAAACCTTTAAAAATCTTAAGAACAGCAAAGCCACGGTTTGTAATATTTATATGGAAGCATCCTCAGATAGTGTAGATTCAAATTTGTTCAAATCATGACCTCCAGAGGTAGGGTGGGGCCACAGTGAAAGTTCGAACTTGTAGAGAAAAAAGTCACAGTTAGTCAAAAAATTATGTAAGCAGTGTAGATTTAATTTTGTTCAAGTCATACCCCCCCCCCCCCACTCCCTTTTAGGGGTAGGTTGGGACCATTTATGCATTTAAGCTTTTCAATACTAAACTGATTTTTCCTTTTTTCCTGGCCACAGTGCTCAGGTGAGCAATGTGGCCCCTGGGCCTCTTGTTTAGTATCCACATCTGATTTACACCACTTCTCGAATATATATTGTTGCACAGTACACTTGAAGTTTCTCCTTCACTACTGTTAATATCTTAGGTATCTAAACACAGTTTCGTATAAAATCCAGGGGTTTTTCTCAGAGAAAAGCATGATGGGTAGGGATTTCCCTGCTATTTTTATGCAGTGTACATGAAAATTGCAGCTTTTTTATTTTTATTTGCATAAAGTAGAGTCTTATCTTAAGATTAAATGAAAAAAGTATACAAATTTTTTTTTAGAATTAGTTTTTGTGTGACTTTTTAATAGTGGGAGATAACTCTAAAAACACCCATTTTTCACATGTGCAGAATTGCATGATTTTTAGAAGCAGGTAAAGTAGGTCTTTAAAAAGCTGTAAAATGTACCCTAAAAGTACAACAAAAAGAAACCTACATGTAAGGACTTGTTCGTGAAATGCATAGCACTTATTAGCTCTTTTGAGCTAAAGGCTCAAAGAGCAAATGCTATGGCTATTTGTGTGGTGTGCAGTGTGCGTAAACTTTTTAGAATATGGGCCATAACTCAAGAACCCCTTGGCCAGGGGGTTGAAATATATGGTAGCCTGACGCCCGGGGCTAGTCATTTTAAGACTCGGGCTAGCTAATTTAAATGTAATGATAGGCCGTCGGACTAGCAGAACGGAAAGAAAATTCTCGTCTGTTTAATTTTGCTTATCTATGTAGACTGGTTTCTTTTGAATAAGAACTACATTGTACTTTAATTTGTTTCTGTCACCACAGCATTTGAAACTTTAATTTAACTTATGTTTTCACTTTGCATAAAAAAAATTTTGGGCTAGTTAGTTTGAGGTTTGGGCTGGTAATTTTTTACTGATCAGTAGCCCCTGGGCTAGTGGGTTTTCCAGGAAAATTTCAACCCCTGCCTTGGCCAATTATTGTCAAATTTGTCACAGGGTATCCTTGGCCCAAGGGCTCCTGTTTATACTAAAACTAAGGTTGTGACCCTTAAACAAGGGGAGATAATTAGGAAAATAGAAACAAAAGTACTGGTTGCTAAAAAATCTTCTCAAGAACCACTGGGCAGATTATCACCAAACTTACACAAAAGGATAAGGATATGTTGCAGAGTAAAATTTGTACAGGGAATCACCCTGGGGCAAAGAGTGTGGTCTCAAGGTCACTCAAAGTTGACCAAAAATTACAGTTTATTAAAGTTGCATAATGAGTCAAAACCATGTGTTTCTTTTAAGAAAACTGTATCACAAAACAAAAGATTTCTGTGAAATATGAGTATAGCGAAGTTTTGACAACTCAACTGAACTGTAAAGCAAGAAAAAAAACTGCATAATATAAGTGCCAGAAAAACAAATGTTGTATCTATCACTTTGCTTTTATCGTCAATGTCAACAATGTCAAGGTCACGCGTCCTTTATTTTTAGCATGAAACTTGTAAACAATGTTGAATTGGGGCAAGCAAAAGTAAGGAATAAATTATGATCATGTTTTTTTGAAGATTGCATCAAAATTCTCAGTCATCCGACATTTATATCTATGGAATTGAAACCATGGTAAATTCTTCAACTTTTCAGCGCATGCGTACAATAAAGAGGAAGAAGTGAAGCAATATTTTTGTGATGGGTTATACAAAGATTTTTTTTACTTTTATTTTTCTCCATTAAATTAGATTTTTTAGGTTCTGAAACCTGTAATTTTCTGAAACCTAGTATCTTCAAGAACTGAACAAAATTTGCATGTGTCATGCAAAAATTCTACAGTTGTCAATTTTCCCGTTTGTCCATCACAGTGTCACTTTAAAATGTTGATATTTTGCTTACTATAAGGACTAGGATCATCAAGTCTTGTCAGTTGATGCATCTTAGGACCTCATATCATGTTGGCTCAAAAGTAGGTCATGGTGACCTAATTTTTAAATTTTGCGGCCATTCTTTTTCAAAATGATTTAGAGGCATATTTTGAACAATTTAAGACCTATGATCATCACTTTGTCAGTTGATGTATCTTGTCCTCAGAGTATGTCACCTAAAAAGTAGGTCACCTTGACCTACTTTTTGAATTTTATGGCTAATCTTTTTCAAAACAATTAAGGTCATTAATTCAAATACTGAGAGGTTTAGAATCATTAAATCTTGTAAGATGATGCATCTTGGGACCATAAAACATATTTATTAAAAAGTAGGACACAGTGACCTACTTTTTGAACTTTGCAGGCATTAAATTTCAAAGCATTTTAGAGGCATAATTTGGACATTTGAAGGCCTATGATTATGACACTTTGTAAGTTGACGCATCTTGGGTCTTCGGAGTAGGTCGATTGAAAAGTAGGTCACCGTGACCTACTTTTGAAATTTTATGACTGTATTTAATATTTTTGGGCACTATTTGGCTTAGAATCATCAAAATTTGTCAGTTGATGTATCTTGGGTCCTTGGTGTAGGTTGACTGAAAAGTAGGTCACCATGACCTACTTTTCAATTTTTATGTCTATAATTAAATATTTCGGTACTATTTGGCTTAAGAATCATCAAAATTTGTCAGTTGATGCATCTTGGGTCTTCGGAGTAGGTCGACTGAAAAGTAGGTCACCATGACCTACTTTTGAAAATTTATGGCTGTAATTAAACATTTCAGGTACTAATTGGCTAAGAATCATCAAACTTTGTCAGTTGATGCATCTTGGGTCTT